AGAAAGATAAAGAAGAGAATAGACATATCAGCATGAAGACTGAGGGGTAATCTCTCTGGCTAGTACAGACATTAAAAGGTAACTTTTTTAAAAAAAAGGAAGAGGTAATAAGAGTATATTATGAACAATTTTATTGTAATAGATTCATTACCTTAAAAGAAATGTACAAATTCCTCAGAAAACACAAAGCTCAAAACTTAACCAGACTGTATATGAAAATACATTTCAAAACATGTCATGTCCAAGCACAGTTTACTCCAGGATGCAAAGTTGATTTAATATTCAACAATCAGTATAATTCTCAATAATCAGTATAATTTACTACATTAACAAACTAGAATATAAAAAAGCAAATGATCCAGAATAAATAATTCTTACATCTCAATAATAAGATTAGCCAAGTTTTTAAAAGGGGGTATGGCTATTCAAGAGCAAGATGAGGTATATAATGCTGTGGTGACAGAAATGTTCTATACCTTAAAGTGTATCAATGTCAGGCTGGGCGTGGTGGCTCACACCTGTAATCCTGGCACTTTCAGAGGCTCAGGCAGCTGGATCACTCGAGGTCAGGAGTTCAAGACCAGCCTGGCCAACATGGTGAAACATCCCTGTCTCTAATAAAAAATACAAAAATTAGCCAGGCATGATGGCGTGTGCCTGTAATCCCAGCTACTCGGGAGGCTGAGGCATGAGAATCACTTCAACCCAGGAGGTGGAGGTTGCAGTGAGCTGAGATCCTGCTACTGCACTCCAGCCCGGGAGACAAAGCGAGACTATGTCTCAAACAAACAAACAAACAAACAAACAAAAATATCAAATATCTTGGCTGTGATACTGAACTACAGTTTTACAACTATAGTTGCCATTGGGGAAAACTGTTAAGGGTACATGAGGTCTCTCTTATTTTTCTTAAAACTGCATGTGAATCTACAATCATTTCAAAATAAAAAAGATAATTTAAAAAATAGCAAAAAAATATATATGCACATAAAAAGCACATTAAAAATAAATTCTCCGTATCATTGGGTATTAAGAAATGCAAATTCAAATCAAAATGAGATAACAGTATATATTTCATAGGCAAGTAATGATTCCATGTAGAGAAACCTGGTAAAACATTTGAACTTACTCTTTTCTATATTACATATGAAAAGGGAAGGGACCAAAATAAATGGAGATCAACAAGAAAGTCAGATTCTAGAGAAAAAGAACAAGTGTTTCAATATTTGAATTTGAAATGTCATCTAAAATATCCTGAAATCCAATGGAACTGAACTTGAATGTGAACTGAACTTTCCCCTGTCTTACCAACCCTGTTTTGGCAGTCAGTGAAGTTTAATTTTAAGGCAAAATTCTCTGCTAATTTGAAAGTGTTTTATTTATAGAATAAGGATACAGAAAAGTATAGAAAATAGCATAATAAACAGTATACCCACATATGAATTATGCCAAAAATTAACATCTTTGTTATGTTTGCTTCAAAGTTTTTTGTGTGCTTACTTCTTCTTGTTCTGATTATTTTGTTATTGCTGCTGCAGAAGCAAATAATTATCTGGGTGGTAATGACACAAATATAGAAGGTAATTTTCATTAGTTTTCCTTTAAAATTTGTGTGTTTTATATGCATATTATACTTCAATTGTAAGATGTTTTTAAAAATCGTATTGATTTTTAATTTATTTAAAAAGTTGAGTAAATCAGTGAAAATATTACTTCTCATAGTATTTTACTGAAAACAAGAACCAAGAAATTTCTATGTTCACAACAAAAGGTCAGGCTACAAATGTAAAAATAAATTAATGGGACTATATTAAACTAAAAAGCTTCTATACAACAAAGGAAATAATCAGCAAAATGAAAAAGCAGCCTCTGAATTGATATAAAATGTTTGCAAACCATATATCTGATAAAAGGCTAGTATCTAAAATACATAAAGAACTCACACAACTCAATAGCAGAAAAACAAATAACCCCATTAAAAAATGGGCAAAGGACCTGAATAGACATTTCTCGAGACATAAATATGGTCAACAAGTATATGAAAATGTGCTCAAAATCACTAATTATCAGGGAAATGCAAATCAAAACCATCACACCAGTGTGGATAGTCATTATGAAAAAGACAAGAGATAACAAGTACGAGAGGGGATGCAGGAAACAGAACCCTTGCACACTGTTGGTGGAAATGTAGATTGGAGCCACCAAGGTGACAAACAGTATATAGATTCTTAAAGAAATTAAAAATAGAACTAGTGTATCATCTCACAGTTCCTCTTCTGGGCATAAGGAAAATGAAATCACCACCTATAAAGATAACTGCACTCCCTCGTTCACTGCAGCACTATTCAGAACAGCCAAGACACAGACATAGCCAGAGAGTCCGTCGACAGACAAATGGATAAAGAAACTGTAGTATGTAGTCATTTGCCACATAACATGTTTTGGTCAATGCCAGACCGCATAGATAAAGAAGGTCCCAGATGATTATAACTAGATTCCTATCACCTAGATGTTGTAGCCATTGTAGCACAACACACTATTCATGTGTTTGTGGTGACTTTATAAAGTAACAAAGTTCCAGTAAGCTAAGGGTAATTGATTATTAAAGAAAAATATTTTTTATAAATGTAGTGTAGCCTAAGTGTCCAGTGTTTATAAAGTCTACAACAGCATACAGCAATGTCCTGGTCCTTCACATTTACTCACCACTCACTCATTGACTCAATCAGTGCCACTTCCAGTCCTGCAAGTTCCATTCATGGTAAGTGCCCTATACAGGTGTGCCTTTTAAAATCTTTTATACTGTATTTTTATGGTAGCTTTTCTATGTTTAAACAAATACTTACCATTGTGTTACAACTGCTTACAGTATACAGTAACAATGCTGTACTGCTTTGTGGCCAGGAGCAACAGGCTATACCTCACAGCCTAGGCGTGTAGTAGGCTACACTATCTTGGCTGTGTAAGCACACTCTACAGTTTTCACATAATGATAAAATCACCTAAGGGCACATTTCTCACAATGCCTCCCAATTGTTAAGTAGTGCATGGTTGTATAAACAAAGGAATATTATTCAGCCTTAAAAAAGAAGACACCGACATTTGGCACAACATAGGTAAACCTGGAAGAGATTATTCTAAGTGAAATAAACCAGAGAAAGAAAAATACTTCATGATCTCACATATATGTGGAATACCTTTTTAAAAAGTCAAATACACAGAGATAGAGGATATTACAATGGGTACCGGGGGTGGATGTGAGAAAATGGGGAGATATAGGTCAAAGTTGCAGGTCTATAGGATGAAGTCTAGAGATCTAGTGCAGAATATGAGGACTACAGTTAATGATATTGTACTGTATTCAGGATTTTTGCTAAAGGAGAGTATCACCGCTCTTGCCACAAACAATAAAGGGGGTAATTATGTGAGATGATGGATATGCTAATTTACTTGACTATAGTAGCCATTTCTCTGTGTACATGTATTAATATATCAAAACATCAAGTTGTATACCTTAAATATACACACAAAAAATAAATTTCTATGTTTTATACTCCTTCCACAATGGTCAAGATTCCTTAAATCTTAGTTGAAATTATGGTCATACTATGTAAGAGGCAAAAACATGACTTAAGGGAACATTAGACAGCAGTAAAGATAATATAAAAGCCCTACTGAAAATGAGGAGAAAACAAAGTGTCTGTACCCTTATAAGGAGTAAAAGCCCTGCCCCCTTCTCCTATAGACCCCCCTAGCAAGGAGACTGGAAGAATCAAAAACAATCTATCCAAAAAATGGCCTGCAGGGACAGAGTCCCAGAGAAAGAGACTATGTACAACAAGGTACAGTAAGACAGACCTGCCCACACACAGGACTTCCAATCGACTTCTTGGTGCTTACTCCTACAGATGAACAGATCAACCAGAGCCACCAGACGCTCCAGCAAAGACAGGAGTCCAAAAAGAAAACTCAGTAAGTTTGAATATATTTTGAGCAAATTTTCAGTTCTGTTGAAGTACCGGGGGTAGAATCAGTGTATTAGTACACAAATAAAAAACAGGGCAATGATGTGCTACAGAAATGGTAAAAGATGTTCAAGAAAGGAAATGCAATTATCCTACAGTACACAGTCAAACTAAAAATAACATCTAAAATAATAATGTAAAATCTGAGTTAACCAAAAATGGTAATAAGATGGAAAAAGGAAAAAGTCTGTGTGCTGGCAAGCGTGCTGGGAACCCAGAGGGAACACATGTGGTATGCAGGAAGAATCAATGACTATCTTCCATCTTAGGGAGATAATAGTTAATATCTACAACTGAAATCAAGAAATCACAATATAAGCATGTTATTTAGAAACATGGACAGAACTGAAAGCATTTCCCTTAGAGGAGCGGGAATCAGAAACAGGGTGAACATGGGTCTGTTATTTTTCATTAAAACCTCGTACTTCCATGTAAGTTTTAAAACTATTTATGTGTATTACTCTGATGCAAAAAATAAAATTAAAAAATGCCAAAGAAAGAAGATAAAACCAGTTTGGGAATAAAACTCTCCAACAGGACCAAAATTTAAAGAGTTAAATTATGTTATGTTCTTTAAAAAATACATGTAAAACAATGGATTTCTCAAACTTCTCCCATTTTGGTCCCTTTTTCTTCTCTAATTCTGCATGCATGAAGCAAACCTGTTTGACAATTTCTGCCACAATGAAAAAGTGGAAATGAAATAGTGAAGAAAAATGAACCCAGTAGCAGCAAAATCATTTGTATCAATTACCAAAGAACCATTTTGAGAGAGTTTTTAATAGTGGTTAATAGTCATTCTGGGAAAAAAAAAAAAAAAGCAACGCTTCAAAAATCTGAAGAAAGACATAACATTTCTAATGCAGGTTCTCACAGGAAAATCTACCAGAAAGAAATGTAAAGACTGTAGTAAATCTTATGCAGGGACATGTGTGTTCTGTAACTCTAACTCTAATCCAAGTCGTGGTAACTTACCACTTCATGAATGGATCTGTTGAAGCCATCATCTTCCGTAAGGATCAACAATATTATAAGGGCCATATACACATGGTGTGAATTCCTTTCTTCAACATGATACAGAATCTCAAGAATAGGCAAAACCTAGAGAATAAAAATTATAATTGACTATTTCAGTACTTCATTATAAATCCAAATGTTTTAAATCTTTACACTTTTGTACTCTGCTTTAATATCATAGCTGTATTGTTCATTAGAGGAAAAAACCATATAAACCCCCTTCTGACTGAATGTATTTTCCAAATGTATCTTAGCTATTAAGATGCCAGTGGAGAAAATCATCACTAACTCTGTGAAGGTCTCTTAAGGTCCAATCAACATAAAGGTTGGATCTGCAAGGACCATTTAGGCTCAAGGTTTGTTTGGAAGATTTTAAGAAGTCACATTGCCTTCTCCCAACTTTACCAAAAAGTAGCAGTAGTGGGGAGAACACAGCTGCTCACAAGTTAACGTTTTATGTGCTTAGCATCACTTTTTTAAAGCTAATAAGTAAAAAATATATTTCAAGAAATATATTTTAAATAAATACATAATTAAACATACTCTTGGAACCCAAGGTGCATTTTCTCAACATATGTATTAAGATCTGCTCTTCAGTGTATCCATCAAACATTTCATTTCAAAATGCCGTTTACAATTGTGCTTATTTCAAATCATTGACACCTTCTATTTGTTCCTTCTTTATTAAAGTAAGGAGGTTACTGAAATTATTTATTAAAGATGGGCAGACTATACAGCATGTCTCGTAGGAAACAACCATGAACACTATCCACTGAATGCTAGAAAATAGGCCAAAAAAAAAAAATCTATCATCTAAATCAGACAATACATGTAATGAGTAAATTGTTTACACGTACAAGTCCCTAAAGCACAGGCTGGTATGCCGCACACTGGGGCATACGTGTTTTTGACAGGCACACCTATTGCAGGAAGGTTTTAAAATGTGGCACTGGTGTGTTTTGTTCTTTTATAAGTTGTAGCTAAAACTTCCTCTAAATTATGAAGTTCAGTGCATGAGCACTATTAAATTCCAGGAACGAAGTGTACCAGTTACCAAGTAGTCATTGCTCTTTCTCTTTTCCCAGGCATTCTTGTCTTTGGAGTTTCTTCTGACATTGGGTCAAACATAATACATTGTACTCACATTCCACATTACCTAGTAAGCACAGTTACATTTTACGGTCATTTAACTCAACATTTGTTAATTCTGATTCTGGAGTTTTCAATACGCCACATAACATTTCCATTAATGGCAGATCACATGTAAGAGTCTGTGGTTGTATAGTCTCATAAGATTACACCACCATATTTTTACTGTACCCTTTCTATGTTTAGATACACAAATGCCATTGTGTTACAAATGCCTGCAGTATTTAGTATGGTTACATGATGTACAGGTTTATGGTCTAGGAGCCATAGGTTACACCATAAAGCTTAGGTGTGTAGTTAGGCTATACGATCTAGATTTGTATAAGTACACTCTATGATATTTGCACAATGACAAAATCACCTAATAAAACAAATTTCTCAGAATGACTCCCCACATTAAGCAACATATGACCATATTTTATGCCATGTTCTTTTTTTTTTTTTTTTTTTGGCTACACCTGTAGAAAGCACATCTTACCTACAGTACCTAATATCACCAGAGTACTGAAAATATTGAGACTCTGTGCTTTACCAGACAAGATACACAAGCAAATGGTATATTCAAAGAAATAATAATGTAAGAGTAAGTAACGAGTCCAATGAGACTATGTCAGAATAGTACTTCATTCTTTTAAATATCTGTATTGAGACACAATTTACAGACCATACAATCCATTCAAAGTGCATAATTCAATGGTTTGCCATATGTTAACAAATATGTGTAACCATCACCACAGGCAACTTAAAAAATTTCATTACCTCAAAAAGAAACCCCATACCCTTTAACTATCACCTCCTCCAGTCCCCTATGTAGCCTGCCCAAAGGAACCACTTTCTGTCTCTATAGATTTCCCTATTTTGGACGTCTGTATGAATAGAATCATAGACTACGTAGATTTTTGTGACTACCTTATTTCACTGAACATGTTACCAAGGTTCATCCATGTTGCAGTATGTATCAGAGTCTCATTCCTTTCTATGTCAAATAATATCTCATTGCATAAACATATCACATTTCATTTATCCATTCTTCTGTTTACTAACATTTGAACTGTTTCCACATTCTTGCTATTATGAGCAATGCTTCTATAAACATTCCTTTACAAGTTTTCCTGAAGACGTATACTCATTTCTCTTGGGTATATATCTAGCCTTGGAATTGCTGGATCATATGGTAACTATTTAATTGTTTCAGGAACTGCCAGACTGTTTCAAAGCCATTGCACCATTTTACATTTCCACCAACAGTGTATGAGAGATTAGATTTCCCCACATCCTCACTTCTTATTAACTAACATTTTATTCTAGGCATCACAGTGGGAGTAAAGTGGTATTTTGCTGTGGTTTTGATTTACACTTACCTGATGACTAATAATGTCAAGTTTGTTTTTTTCATATGTGTATTACTAGCTATTTGTATATCTTCCTTGCAGAAATGCTTACTCAGATCTTTCATCCATTTTGCAATTGGGTTGTCCTTTTACTATCGGGTTTAAAAAGTTCTTTATATATTATAGATACAGTTCCTTACCAGATAAGTGATTTGCAAATATCTTCTCATATTCTGTAGGCTGTCTTTTCACTTTCTTGATGGTCCTTTGAAGCACAAACGTTTTTATTTTGATGCAGTTCAATTTACCTATTTTTTCTTTTGTTGCTCATGCTTTTGTTGTTATATCTAACAGTCATTTGCCAAATCCAAGGTCATAAAGATCTACCCCCATTTTCTTCTAAGAGGTTTATAGTTTTAGCTCTTTTAGGCCTTTGACCCATTTTGAATTAATTTTGTATATGGGGTGAAGCAAAAGCCCAACTTTATCCTTTCGCAAGTGACTACATAATTGCACTAGTACCATCTGTTGAAAAAACCTATTCTTTCCACATTGGTCTTGGCACCCTGGCTGAAAATCAGTTGATGATAGGTATATGGGTTTATTTCTAGATTCTCAGTTCAACTCCATTGATGTATTACGTCTATCCTTGTGCCAGTACCACACTGTATTGATTAGTGTTGCTTTATAATAAGTTTTGAAATTAGAAAGTATGAGTCCTCCAAATTTGTTTTTTTTCAGTATTGTTTTGGCTATTCTTGGTCCTTTGTAATTTTATATGGATTTTTAAACAATCTTGTCAATCTCTATAAAGAAGTCAACTAGGATTCTAATAGGTATTGTGCTCAATGTGTACGTCAGTCTGGGGAATACTGCCATCTTAACAATGTTAAGTACTGTGATCAGGGCTGGGTATGGTGGCTCACGCCCGTAATCCCAGCACTTTAGGAGGCCAATGTGGGAGGATCGCTTGAGGTCGGAAGTTTAAGACCAGCCTGGGCAACATAGCAAGACCCTATCTCTATTTTTTTATGTTGCAATCAATGAATATATGTTTTCCCATTTCTTTCAATAATATTTTGTAGTTTTCAGAGTGTAAGTTTTGTACTTCTCTTGTTAAATTTCTGATGCTATTATGAACAGAACTATTTTCTTAACTTCATTTTGGGATTTCTCATATATAAAAATACAATTTTTTGCATATTGACGTTTTATACTGATCCAGTATCCTGCAACTTTGCTGAACTCATCTATTAATTCTAAGAGTTTTTCAGTGGATTCCTTAGGATTTTCTACATATAAGATAATGTCATCTGCAAATACAGATAATTTTACACCTTGCTTTCCAATCTAGATGTGTTTCATTTCTTTCTCTTAATCAAATGCCCAGGCTATAATCTCCAGTAAAATGTTGAATGAAATGGCAAAAGCAGACATCCTTGTTTTGTGGCTGATCTTAGGGAGAAAGACAACATGGTCTTTTACCATTAAGTACGATGTGAGCTGTAGGGTTTTCATAGAAGCCCTTTATTAATCTGAGGATGTTCCCTTCTATTCCTACTTTGTTAAATATTTTTATTTCATTAAAAAGTGATGATTTGTCAAATGCCTTTTTCTGGATCTATTTAAATAATCATATGATTTTTGTTTTTCACTCTTGATATGATGTATCACAATAACTGACTTTCAGATGTCCAATCAAGCTTACATTCCTCGGATAAATCCCACTTGGGTATGGTATATAATTACTTTTATAACATAACTTTAATTCTGAAAGAACTATTTAAACTGAGATCTGAAAAGCTACTAAGAGTTGTCTGAGAAGAGGAAAAGGGAGAAAATTTCAAGGAGAAGTATTCTAGAGAGAAAACCAAGTCTAAACTTAGTTAGGAGATAGGTCAGATTGAGAGAAATTAAATTAATTCATTATGATTAAATAAAGAATAAAAAGGACATAATGGCAAACAGATGAGACCCAAAATGGAAGCTGTGGCAAAATTATGAAATGTCTTGTTAGCCACATTAAGAGTAAGAGCTTTAAACCTGAGGACACTGTGGAGCCATGAAAGGGCTTTAAAAGCAGAGAAGTGACATGATCAGATTTGACTCTAATATACTCACTCTGGAAACAGGATAGAAAATAATATTAAAGAATAGCAAGACAGAAAGCAGGAAAACCAGTTAAAGATGTTGCAATAGTTTTAGTAAGAGATGAAGGCCGCTTAAACCAAAGGAATGGCAATGAGGAAAAAGAACACTAATATATTCCAAAGAAAATAAGGAGAGAAAATACAAAAGATTTGGGAATGAAACAGGAGAGTCAAAGCTTTTGCTAACTCTGTGGATGGCTCACTGTGATACAGAATACAGGAGTAAGAGAAGGAAGAGCAGGGAAAATAATGAACCCAATTTTTACATGTTTGGTTTAAGGTGTTTATGAGACAGCCACTGGGAAATGTCTGGGGCAGCTGGATACATGGATATGAGATATGGGCAACCAGGGCTGCAAAAACAGAACATATATGGCACATATAAATGGGAACATATACACTGGCAACATATAAATGACAACTGAATTTGCTTAGATGTTTTAGGGAGAAGTACAGGGAAAAAACAAAAAGAAGGACAGAACCCTGCAGCAGGACACATTTAAGGACAAGAAAAAATAACACATAAAGGAGAGAGAAAAGCAGTAGGCATAGAGGTGGAAAAACCAGCAGAGTAAAATGATCAGAAAGCCAAGGTATATGTTTGTAGATATATGAACTACACGTTTGGGCCCCCAAAATTCATATGTTAAAACCCTAACCCCCAATGGGACACTATAAAGAGGTGGGGCTCTTGCGAGGAGATTAGGTAACAGGTGTGGAGCACTCATGATGGGATTAGTACCCTTATAAGAAGAGATAGGAGAGAGCTTGCTTCTTCCCTGCCTCTGCTCACTGCCATGTGAGGACACAGCAAGTAGATGACTCTTGACAAACCAATAAGCAGGTCTGCACCAGACACCAAGGGGTCTGTCTTGGAAATCTCAGCCTACAGAACTGTGAGAAATAACTTTCTGTTGTTTAAGCACCAGTCTATGGTATGTTTGTTAAAGCAGTCAGGCCTGAGTAAATTCTGAACTGACTAAGCCTGAACTGACTAACACATAGGTATTCAGCGGTTTAAAGAATAAAGAAATGAACAGTGTCATATGCAGCAATGCAGTCAAATAAGAAAATGATGAAACATGACCAAAGATTTACTAACAATCAGGAGCTGCTGATGAGGAAGTTGTAGAAACAAATGTTAGATCACAACAGGTAGAAAAGTGCACAAGAAGTAAAGGCAAATAATGTGGCTTTCAAGAAACTTAGCATGAAAAGGAAAAGAAAAGGGCTAAAAAAAAATTTCCTTTTTGATGTTTATATAAAAACCACACTCAGAAAATAAAGGACTATTAGTCCATCTAAAACAAGATGTAAAGATCCTATGTCATTTCTTTTATAATTCATGATAAATCCTAGACTGCATATCATTGTAAATCTTAATCTCATTTTCTAGTGAAGTGAAGTTTCAAATGAGTAAGTATCAAAATGACAGGAGCTGCATGTCTGCAATATTGTGCAGGCTCAAGGTTTGACCCAAAAGCAGAAGACTGCTGGAGGCCTAAGGGAAATGCCAGCCAAATCTCTGCTGGACTAACACAAACAGAAATTAAAAGAGTGACTAACTCATAATGCCCTGATTAAGGAAATTACAAGCAATATAGTGTCGAAGTGACTATATATTATTTGTCCAAGATCCCTTCCTTAAGGAAATTCCCTTTACCTTTGTGGCTATGGTGGCTTAGCATTAACTGCGCCTCCTTCCGTAATCATTGGTCAAATAAGTGGATACACAACCCAAGAAGAGACTATTGGAGCCCTTCGTGAAATATTTCTGAAGTAGTTGTGTAATCTTTCCTCTTTTTAGCTTATGATATGTCGAGAGCTGCTGGTGACCACCTGTCTCCCCACTTGGAAAGTGTGTGCCTGAGAATAAGGCCAAAGCTATAAAAGGCAGAGGCAAAAGACGGAGAGGCCGAGCCTGGATAACAACATTTAGCCCCTAGAACCAGCTATGACTGAAGCCAAAAAAAAATGCACAAATTTTTCATTTGTACAGATATATTTCTTTTTGCTTACGCTAGGCATAAATGGGTCTGTTACAACTAAAAGAATCATGACTATCTTAAAAGTCTAGCTACTTTTCTTGTTAAACATTTGCTTGTGATAAAATATAAAAATTGTGTTCATGTCTATAATGAGTTTTTCTAAAAAGTATGCCCTCTTAAGCCCTGTTTTTAACATTCAGGCACTTGGATTCGCCCTAGACACTATTCAGAGACACAAAAAGAAAATGCACGAGTCATTGTATTGTTATTCTAATAGATACCAATTAAAAATGTACCATAAGAAGTTATACCAGATTAATTAACTTGTTTGGAGTTAAAACAAGTCAAACAGTAGTGAGTCAGACCATCAACAGAAAGAATCCAAGTCAGCCAACACCTGTTGCTGAACAGAGGGAGGTCTGCCTCCAGCCTGATGGGATTTACACACAATTACGTATTTCTTAGAAACACTGTAATCTGTCAAACATTACCTTCTTAATGTCAAAGACTGCAGAATAAAATAATTGATAACCATAATAAAATCAGATCAGCACAGTAAATTTCCTACTGATAACATATTTTCTCATCAAAGCCTCAACATATTTATTATAGGAGAAAGGTAAAAGGACAGATGGAGCATAAATTAAGAAATTATCCAACAAAACCAGAACAAATAAACAAACACCACCCTCCAAAATAACTACAACACAAAACCTTTTAACCTTTCACCGGGTATGCCATCAAACACAGACAGCTGCTCTCTGCACCATCTTATATACCCGCATCCTTACCATACAACTTTCTGAAACAGGTGACGTCACAGGTTTCCTGCTTATTGCCAACATTTCCCTTAGAATACATCATCCTCAGAATTGTCTCTATGCCTATCCACACCCATCAGGAAACAAACCTTCTCTTTACAGGATTTTACTCATATAAGCAGTATACTTTCATACTCAATTTGCTATTTAAGCAATGTTTCCCACCTAGACCTAAGGTGGAGACACTCTTTCATCACATTTTTCATACTTAGTGTCAACTGGATGCAGAGTATGTTCAATGAATTCTAGTATTCCGTGTTCCTTCACTATTTATGCAGTATTTTATATTGAACACTGAAAAAATGGTAACCAAATACTGGGAGAATCCTGCTATCAATCTGTAAAAAGTGGTGCAGAGGGAACATTTCATTGCTGTCAGGCAGCTACTGGCTATTTCGGGAATGTTCACATTTTTACGAGTATATTAGGGTCCACAGTTATCTACACACTATGTATTTCAAACAACATTAACACTTTGGTGAGGTAGCTTACTCTGCCCCTCATAGAAACACTGATGTTTGCACATTAGTCATAAAGGAAATCGATTATTGCTTACAGGAGTTTTTGTCTATGAACAAAAATTTGAGAACTAATTTCACTCATGTAGTGATGGATGGCGTAATTTAAGGGATATCTGACAAAAGTACCTTAAAATGACTATAAGACTCCAGGGAGTGAGTTCAGACAGTCCTAAAGCCTAAGCCTGCCAGAGGGGATGGGACATTTGAGCAGCTGAGTTGAAACATCACTTTCCTTTCAGCATTCTCATCAGGAATATTCTGCAACTGTGATGAGTAACATGAAGTTGGTGGGCGGGCACTTAGCAGATGGAAGGGACTGAGATGATTTAAAAATCTCCTTGAGAATTGCAGAGGGTTTTTGGAAGACTTGAACAGGCTGAATCCTGGTAAGGACAAGGAGGCGCGTCAAGTCAGCCAGGGACGTGGCTGTGTCCTGCTGTGGGAGGCCCCCTCCACACGAGCTGTGTCTTATGCTGGAGAAGATCCTACCCTCTGTCTGTGTCTGGTGACACCTCCCTATCAATTTCTTGATCATCACCTTTGTGGCAACCAGGCAAATAAACTTGCCCTCTTGGGAAAAGAAGTTTTTCTTCAAAATATTATAAAATACAAACACATGGAATGTTTAGTATGATACTTACAAGATTTTCCATGTCTGTGCGAGCCAACATGTATGTTCTAATATTACTATTTTGATGAAGCAAGGTATACAAGAGGAGAGTTGCTTGATCAGATGTCTGCTGTTCACAAAGAGCTGTGTACAAACTATTAAAGTTGATCTGGAAGGCATGTGGAATTGATGAGGGGAAAGGACTGCTATCTGGAATACAGAAAACAGCACATCAGTAATTTCTAGCTGTGCTTTATATAAATGAAAATATTGTTAAAGTAATGTGTACAACTCAATTCCCATTAATTTTATGGAAAGTCATTACATTTCAGATTCAAAATTTTAATTTATACAAAATTTACTTGAGGTCCAGGCATGGTGGCTCACGCCTGTAATCCCAGCACTTTAGGAGGCCAAGATGGGTGGATCACAAGGTCAGAAGTTTGAGACCAGGCTGACCAACATGGTGAAACCCCATCTCTACTAAAAATACAAAAATTAGCCGGGCATGGTGGTGTGGGCCTGTAATCCCAGCTACTCAGGAGGCTATGGCAGGAGAATCGCTTGAACCCGGGAGGTGGAGGTTGCAACGAGCCGAGATTGCACCATTGCACTCCAGCCTGGGCGATAGAGTGAGATTGTGTCTCCAAAAAAAAAAGAAAAATTTACCTTAAAAAGAACTAAACTAAGTCATATAGTTTGACTCTGTTACTATCTTCCCATTAACGTAGCTGAAATAAATCAGCTCTAAGAACATGAACTTAAATAAACAGAATTATGAGCGAGTCAAAAGGCTCTCCAATCAATACAATTTAACCAGGACTTCAAAATGAAATACTTTGTTACCGAAACTAAATAATCATGAGTCCTAAATAAAAAACATCTAGAGAGAAAGAAAGAATTTCTATACAAAATAGAAAATTCTCTTTTAATATAGAATTAAAAAGAAAACAACTGCCTTTAAAGCTGGGTTAATTTTCTTCAAAAGAATAAATTGTGGCTGAAGTATCCACTTACACCAAAATCAGTATAGACGTTCCTCAACTTACAATGGGATCATATTCCCATAAATTAATCGTAAGTTGAAAATATTCTAAGTTGAAAATGCATTTAATACAACCTAACTTACCAAATATCATAGCTTAGCCTAGCCTAGCCTAGCCTAAGCTATTATTTTTGTGTACAGTTCTAAATTGTATTAATCCAACTGTAACAGTAGGCCTATTTTACAACAAAGTGTTGAATATCTCATGTAATTTATTAAATACAGTACTGAATTTATATTGCTTTTGCACCATCATAAAGTCAAAAAATCCTAAGTCCAGCCATTGCAGGTTGGGGGCCATCTGTGTACGTTCAACATTAGGTTCTATAATCAAAAGAGCATACCAAGCTTGAGACAACTACCAGAAAACTTCTATAACTTTTTTAAAAATAAAATAAAATATAATCTCCAATGCAAACCTAATTGACTACAACTGCTAAGAAACTTTTTTTTTTTTTTTTTTTAAGTACAGTCACTGGAACAATCAAAAGCAAAAATCACAGCCTGTACTAGGAAAGTTCTTGATATTCCAAACCAACACAGGCCCTTTCCAACAGTTAACTGGATTTGCTGAGAAACTGAAGCAATCAAGGTTAGGAAGTAACAAAGAAGATAAAGATAAGTTCAACGGACTCAGAGAAAGTCATCATCTAATCAAATAAAACTCTGAACATGGTAGCACAAAGAGCTAATATTTTTATGTTCTAAAAAGCACCAAAATTATTTTAAGCCTTTAAAAACACAGAAGCACTACCAAGACAAAATAACTTGCTTTAACATTCCTAAAAGCTGTGCTCTTATGAAAAAAGAGATATGTTCCAACACAGTCCTTGTCTCTCAGATTCTCCTTTCTAAGCTTTACATTTGTGAGGAGAATGCATCAAAACGCCTTCAGTTTTATCATCCAGTGCCCTCACTTTTCCTTCTACATTTGAAATAGAGGCTATTTTTTCAATACTAACACTGTATTTTTGACACTTACACAAATAATTCTTTTTTTTTGTGGTTGGCTTTATATTTTTGCAAGGGATGGCAAAAGAAAGTGTTGCCATGTGCCGTGAGTATGCAGATATTATGGAATCTACAGAATGCTCACTGGTGGAAGATTCTAGACACACTACACTTCTATAAAATTGAAGCAAAGTAACAAATTCACCAACGTGTATTATACCTGACTGCAAAGGGAATATGTGTGTTGTGTGTGTGTATCCACAACATACATACATTACTAGCTAATAAATACTAAGAACCAGCTGTTATACTAAACACTTTGTTTATGTTATCCCTTATTTAACCCATACAACAAACGTGTCATTATTCTGATCAGCTTTACAAGGAATGTAATAGATGTTTAAAGGGATCAAGTAACTTTGCCAAGATCAGCCCTGATGGATATGAGCATCCTAAAGCCAACACTTTGCATCATTGTACTAAATGGTCTCCCAAACCGTGACCATCCCAAGCAAAGTTCAGCCCTAAATATCAACACTTGGCCTGAGCAGCAAGAGTAACATAGTAGATACCATATACTGAATACCCGCTTTGTTGCAAAATCTGGGCTAATCATTTTAAAGACTTACCTTGCTTGGTCTTTATACAAATACTATTAGGTGATATTTTCTCTATTTTATAGGCAAAGCTTTTAAAGCTAATTGAGATTAAGCAAACTGTCAAAGGTCTCACACTCTGAAGTGATAGAGGTATGGTGTGAAGCCAGGTATGCTTGACTCTGAAACTTGCTTTCTTAACCATTAAGTCATACTGTCACCAAGAAGAGTAAGTAATGGGAACAGAAAAATACTAATAGATACAGGAGTTTTCATTTTTTAATTCATAAAATTGTTATTATTTCCCCATTGTAACGTGTTATAGTTTATGTTCTCTCCACAATTCATGTTGAAATTTAATCTCCAATGAAATAAAGTTGAGAGGTGGGGACTTTACAGTGTGATTAGGTCCTACGGGCCCCTCTCTCATCAACAGGATGAAGGCCTATATAAAAGAGGGCCCACATAGCATTCAGCTCTTTTAGCCCTTGACTCCCTTCTGCCATGTGAAGACACAGATAGAAGAACCCATCTTGGAAGCAGAGACTGAGCCCTCACCAGACACCAAACCTGCCAGTGCCTGGATCTTAGATTCACTTCCCAGGCTTCAGAACTGTGAGAAATAAATTTCTGTTCTTTATAGGTTATTGAGTCTCAGGTATTTTGTTAGAGCAGCACAAATGGACACGCTGCAAATAATACCAGAATTGGCAGAGGCACAATTAATGGGCACATCTAGCCACGTCTATAAGAAATGTGTATCAGAATAACCTGGAAGAAACATGGCATGGGGCATCAGAAGGCTTACAAATGCTCCCATCCAATCACTGTACTTCCCACCCATCTTCATCACACTGGTGTTAGAAATGTCTTGAGAATCTGGCTATGCGCTGCATAATAACGTTTCAGTCAATGATAAACCACATATTTGAAGTGATCCCATGTGATTATACCACATTTTTACTGTACCTTTTCTAGGTTTAGATTGCCTAGATACACAAATACCACTGTGTTACAACTGACTACAGTATTCAGTACATCATCATGTTGAACAGGTTTGTTGGCTAGGAGCAATAGGCTACACCACAGAGCTTAGTTGTGTAGCAGCTATGTCATCTAGGTTTGTCTAAGTACACTATGATAGTCACGCAGCGAAAAAATTGCCTAATGAACACAGCCCTGCCATTGAGCAGCACTTGACTGTACTACAGGAATCCTGCTTTTAGAATGTAACCTTTTGAGAAGAGATGCTGGTTCAACATGAAGTGATGTGCTCATCTTCTACTTTAGGAGTTATTAATACCAAGTTACACAGCTCATGGGCAGCCTACCCCGCCTTGTTTGGAAGTAAAGATTTACTGGAGCACAGCCATCTAACCTGTTTACATAGTACCTATGGCTGCTTTGATGCAACAACAGCAAGGCTAAGAGACTGCAGGAGAGAACATGTGGCTCCACAAAGCCACTAATCCCTACAGAAAAAGGTTTTCTGATTTGTGCTCTAATTTTTTTTTTGAGACCTAATTTTTAGTTCTATAAAACTCTAACTAGAACACAGACTTTAACTGAAAATTTAAAACAACCTAGCATTTGGGTTTTCCAGGTTAATTCCTACCCCTAACAGGTAGTACAGACTGACCCAAATTAAACACATGCCGGTTTGGTTATCCCTGAAAGAAATACGAATTTAAACAGATATAAAGGATCACAGCCTTGTTCTCGGATTTGCTTGACCTTCCTGATAATATTGACAGGAAAAGCTAAGGTTTTTCTCATGTTTGACCAATATGAAAACATACAAATGGACACTCATCTCCAAAACTACAAGACAATAAACAATATAGAATAAGCAATACTCTCCCCATTACAAAGAATATTAGAGAAAAAAATACCACAAACCTTGTGTGTTCTTGAAGGACATAATGGCTTGTCTGTAGGGGTTTGGCGCATCTGAGGCATCTGTCAGATTGGCCAACACCAGCAGAAGCAGGAGACTCTGGTTGGCCAGAGGGGAAGAAAGCTCTGGAGAGGCAGTCGCTTTGCTGCCCACACCACCTAGCGTGAAGACAGTCCAGAGTCCTGCTGGGGAGGAAAACACCCTGTTAGGATGTGCCACCACCAATGAGATGAATGTATTTCTGTACAGTATTCTGTGTAATATAATACAATATAATACAACATGGTAATGAGCAGTTCCAAAGTGTAGAACAAGAATCATGTCGATACATTTCACAAGGCCAGAAAATCCTCGTTGCTATAAAAACTGGACAAAGATTGACTGTATTTAAAACAAAATAGAGAAATAGAGATTTTTATGATTAGGTAACTTAAATTTTTTTAAAAAGCAAATGAAATTTAGTAGAAAAATTTGCTAAAAAGAAAAATTAATGCAAGCCGGGTGCGGTGGCTCACACCTACAATCCCAGCACTTTGAGAGGCTGAGGCAGGTGGACCAAGAGGTCAGGACTTCAAGACCAGCTTGGCCAATATGGTGAAACCCAATCTCTACTAAAAATACAAAAATTAGCTGGGTGTGATAGCAGGTGCCTGTAGTCCCAGCTACTCGGGAGGCTGAGGCAAAAGAAGAGCTTGAACCTGGGAGGCAGAGGTTGCAGTGAGTTGAGATCATGCCACTGCACTCCAGCCTGGGCAACAGAGCAAGACTCCATTTCAAAAAAAAAAAAATAATAATAATAATAATAAATGCATTATGATCGAGAGGCTTTGTTTCTAAAATACAAGAATTGTTCACCATTTTAAAAGTATTATTTCTATTTTTTAAGATAAAAAATATGGTCACTCAAGAGTTTCCACATTTTCATAAATATATTTAAATATATATATATATATATATATTTTAAACTTAAAATTGGTTTCTGATTTAAAGAAAAATTCTTACAAACCAGAACGGGAAGGAAACCTCTAGCCAGAAATTCATAGTGGTCAAACATTGCAAGTATTCACATTAATATCATCAACATCAGCATGGTACTACTGATGTCCAAGCAAAAACATTAAGGCAAAAGAAAAAAAGACCAAAAAAATTTTAGAGAAAAAATTTCATTATTTGCAAGCAAGCAATATTCTGGTCCACTTAGAAATGTACTGTCCAGGCTGGGCGCGGTGGCTCACGCCACCGGTAATCCCAAAACTTTGGGAGGCCTGACCAACATGGAGAAACCCCGTCTCTAGTAAAAGTACAAAAAAATTAGCCGGGCGTGATGACATGCGCCTGTAATCCCAGCTACTCGGGAGGCTGAGGCAGGAGAATTGCTTGAATCCGGGAGGCGGAGTTTGCGGTGAGCCGAGATCGCGCCATTGC